CAAAGACAGAACATCTTCAGTTTGCTCTGCCATGGTAAAGCCTGCTCTAAGGACCGTTATGCAGAAGATGCGCACACAGACTGTACGACAATAAGCATGTGCAGAAAGCACTGGTCATGCGTTCAGCATGTGTAACAGTCGTGAGCACTGGCTGTATCGGTGCTCAATAAGAATGAGGAAATCACAGATATGCTGTTCAGAAATAACGTCAGGACTCGGGAGAGATATATTGTTAGACCGCCTGCTCCTATTCGCAAGAAATCTGGTCAGGTCTCGCGGTATAACCATGGGAATACAGACCTCCACATGTGTTTTAAGGCTGATATTTATTATTGTGTGCTGTAGTGTGGTTTAGGTGTTGTGTGGGTGTGGTTCTTGTATTGTGTTTATGTGAGTCTTACCTAAGACACATTTCTATCACTGGTTAATGGAGAATAAAGTTTTTGAAATTGAAATTCAATTATTTAATGGGGTCGTAAAGTGACAACCCAAAATTTATCGGGTATTTTGATATAAGAGGACTATAAAAATCATCCTGTAAGTTTCAGAGCTCAAAACTGTTTTTGTTAAAGATATCATGGCAAAACAACATGTTCTGGAATGTTCAACTCTATGATGAATGAGTGGATAAGCTCCGCCTCCACAGAAGATCCATGCCCACTTCTAGCTCACTGCCAGTTTAACCTTGTTAATATGTAAAATAGTCAGCCAATCAGAGCAGTGGGCGTTTACTTCTGAATCTACAATTAGCCACGCCTATTCAAAGAGCGTTCTGATGAGGGGTCAAAAAAAGACAGAAAATAGTCAGTCAGTTCTAAATTATAATGATTTTATATTAAAATCTTAATCCCATCATACTGTAAGTGACCTCAGAGAACTATATAAAATAAAAAACAGATTTAGTTCATGACCCCTTAAAAGTATTAAGTAAATAAACTAAGTGCATAACTATAAAAATGAAGTTAAGTCAGCTTAATAGTTCCAAGTTACAACAGATTTATTTACTGTTTTTAAGTAAAGCAACTAATCGCTTTTCACACTGTACCTGATTTAGAGCTTAGATCAAAAACACAAGCCTCCTATTTTACAAAACTCTATTAGCCTACTTTGAAGCTGCTACAATTACAATGTCGCTCCCTTTATTTGATTCAAAGGGAGTCAAACTAATGTAAATGTAATTATCATTTGACCCTCGGTTCTGCCTGCAAAGCTCTCCATCCCAAACACAAGTGAGGCTTTATTTAGCATGCGAACGACTAACGAATAAATCAAAAACAAATCTGGACAATCTGTAAACACACAATCGCTCCACAAAAACTCGGAAACAATCAGCAGACTTGTGTTGCATTATGGGTATGTCATCTAGAGACGTGATTATTGTGACTCTTGGCTCACACAAAAAGCCCAAACGATGACCTGCTTCCTGTGATCCTTGATTGTGTGACATACATCGAGCAGTGGAGTGACTTACTGACCCACTTTCTGCCTGCCGATAACAGACAAAAACTCATACACACCACACACGCATTGTGAATTACAGGTGCTATTAATAATCCTTGACACATATTTCACACATAATGACACACACCTCACAAATAGGCACCATATGGGGTTTAAAACTGTGCCAGGGGAGGTGTGTGTGTGTGTGTGTGTGTGTGTGTGTGTGTGTGTGTGTGTGTGTGTGTGTGTGTGTGTGTGTGTGTGATTCAGCGACAGCAGGATTATACAGTAGGTTGGACTAATAAATATGGACTTAAACTATTCATCCGAGGATGGGTCAATTTAAAAAAAAGGAAAAAGTACTTCATTACATTTAATAATGCCACACAGTTTCTACATTTCAGCTCAGTAAGACTTTTTAAATATTATAATTGGAAGGAAATATTATTTATACTATTATATTTAAAAATATATTAAAAGGGACATTTTTTGGCATTATAACTCTTATTTATCGTTTTACGCAGATATTATTGGGCAGGTGTTTACATTTGTACTCAGCATTAAAAATACTCTCACCGGCCACTTTATTAGGTACACCTTACTAGCCTTCAGAACTGCCTTAATCCTTTGTGGCATAGATTCAACAGGGTACAGGAAATACTCCTCAGAGATTTTAGTCCATATTGACATGATAGCATCACGCAGTTGCTGCAGATTTGTCGGCTGCACATCCATGATTTCAAATCTCCTTTTCTTTCAGGAGAACTCCCCTGCTGTAGTAGATAATGAACAGATAGTGATTGCTCTTAAGAGATAACTACTTACTAGGAGCATGTCTGTGGTGCAGATTTGGATTATTCAATTAACTTAAGTTGCCTGTTTTTGGATGATGGGAGGAAACTGGGGAACCCCGGGGCTGGCTTGGTATAGGACTAGAACGAGTGACGTTCTTGCTGTGAGGCAAAAGTGCTAAACACTGGGCCACCGTGCCACCCATCTAGGAAAAGAGGAGGAGTAGGGGTGGAAGGGGGGACTCTTCAAAACGAAGATGGCTGTCATATGGTACAGGGTATTTACAGTGGCTTAGGAATCGTCTGATTAGTAAATCATATATATGTTTCTTTATTTAACCAGATAATTTGAATAATGCGTGGCCGGCTGCAAGCAATCATAAGCATGTGATCCTCTCGAAATTAGTTAATAAATAAACTTCACTCTGAAAGCCTGCACCACTCTGATTGTTCACACTTAAGCCTCATTCACACTACGAGCGACTCGCAGTGGCAAAGCGACCATTCCCACATAGCGAAATTTCTCTGGCCCAGCTCTGGCCCACACAATCAGGTTTTGCTTGGCCCACATGCCGCAGTGAATTACGGTACATGACTGGACCAAATTTGGCTTCCAGAAGAGGGCCAAACACAGACCATATCTGGGCCAAGTCTCAGCCAAGTTAATAACTCATAACTGGGCCTGAACTGGGCCAGATAGGTTGGTGTGTCACGATTGCAATGAAATTGATAAACCCATGGAGTGATGCGCTTTAGGCACACTATGGGCACGCTTTTTCTCAAAGTGACATGATTGGTAGAATTTTTTTTCTTTACTCAAAAATGATTTTAGTGTATTTTAAATGTGGGTCGAGACTGGCCAAACTCACATGGCCCACTTATCAAATTTTTAAATCTGGGCCAAATACTACATTTTTCATCTGGCCCAAATCTTGTGTGCCGCCTTAAAAACGGTGCCACCTCTGCCAAACCCAGGCCATGTTTGGCCCACATGCTGTTTGCCAGTGCCGGATGAATGCCTGCTGTGCCAGCTTTTTGCCAAATCTGGGCCAGAATTCTTTGCTACTAGGGTTCATTTTAACGAAGAGTGAGCGACTTCCACCTCCACCTATTGGCTCGTTTCCACTGACTGGTACAGTACGGTACGGTTTGGGTCGGTACGCGTCACCTTTATCAGACTTGCGTTTCCACTACCAAGGGTACTCTTTTGGTGGGCGTGGTGTGTGATAGGGAGTTTCAGTCGCATCATTTTCACTCGAGGAAATGTCAACAATAAAGCCTTAATGGTGGCTTACATATCATATGAGAAGCACTTCTCACAAAACAGAGTTATACACATAAATACTTCCGTATAAATGTTTATTACTAACTTTTCTATGAACAAGATTTGATTAAAACTGCAGATCAATGATCTACTGCAACATTTGCGATTATATAAAATAAAAATAAATAAATGAACATATATGAACACATACAGACCCTTACAGTCTCCGATATGTTACCAACTACAGAAGAACCACAAACAGCAGACATTTAGTCCTTATTTAGGTTAAAAAAACAACAGCAAATATAGCCCACAGTCAGAGCAAACCTCTTATTTGTGTCTGTAATCTTCAGCAGCACATGTAGCCTCTGTTAGAGAGCAATTCCATCTTTCTAAGTTCATAATAGTCCAAAAGGTGAAGATAATAGTTAAACAAGACAGTGTGTTCACGTTTGCTGAAAAAAAAATGTGCTCCTATTTTTCAGCATCTCGTTTTTGTCTGCGCTTCACTCTCGGTTTGTCCTTTTCTTTCTGAATGTGTAATTCTCGCTTCTTACACGATCAGGTTTCAAAAGCACGTCAATTATCAAGCGCATGTTATTATCATGAGCTCAAGAAGTTTGTTATTTCAGATATAGACGCACGGCAAGCGCAAGGAAAAAAAACGCTTGCGCTTCAGACTGGCTCGTAAAAAACTACGGGGGCACAGGGTAAATCTGCAAATTTTTTTGGCTTTGTGGCTGTTCATCAAGACAACGACAAGGTTTGTTTGAGCCCGAGTCGACCATGGCTCGTTATTTTACATATATTTAATTCCGCTGTAATCTCTCGCTGTGTATTTCAAACATGGCGGCTCTTTTGTTTTGATTCTGGCTTGTTGCGTAAGCAAATGACGCATCTCTGTAAACAAATAGTGTTCAGCTGCGTGTCTAGCTCCTCCTTTTGGTACCCTTTCTCGTGTTTGGTACCCTTTCGAAAGGGTGCCGAGAAAGTGTAACGGTATGGTTCGGTACGGCTTTTGACAGTGGAAACGGCCATACGCGAGCGACAGCGACCGTTGGTGACCAGGTAGGCATATTGAGCAATGCAACAAAGTTGAGAATCCTTCAACTTTATGCAAATGAAGAGCGACTTTCTTGAGTAACAGCCAATAGGAGTACCAGTAGAGCTCACGTGATTCTCTCTCAGCTTGCTCAGAGGCCAGTTGTATTCTGTAGACCTGCACAGACTTGCGTTTGCAGCGGGTCGGCGACAGGCAGCTGCAAAGTCAGGGCTAGTGTGAGTAAGGCATTAATCAAAAAACTATTTACCCTCTGTTTGATTTCCGGTATCTCTTCTTAGTGGCATTCTTGCAGTTTACACGCAAGACAGATTTACTACTGATCACAGAGCCATGCTTCCCTGGCAAGATATTGATGGTAATTGCAACTTTAGCTAAATTTCAATCTTGATTTAATTTCCGATTTCTTGTTCAGTTCTTAGTTCACTTTAAATCACTGACTGACCTTTGAGATGAGCTCGTCGTGGTTGGCCAGGTGCGCCCGGCAGTGAATGCAGCTGTATGTGCGATGGCAGTGGGGCAGATAGGCCTGAAAGGTTTTGGAGCGGGTCATGGCGACAGTGGCGGGAGAGACGGTGCGGGGGCGCAGCAGGAAGCGCCGATCAGCCCAGGATGACTCGCAGGAGAAACAGTGGAGCACACAGGTGAGGGCCGTGGTGAAGCTTCAGAAGAGAAGAGAGCACACCTATGGAGGACACAACACAAACACGTGCAATGTAAATAATGCTCAGCTTCTTGCACAGACTAAACGTTTCACTTCATAAGACCTGCCAGGAGCCACAGGAATTAATTTTGTTTTATCTTTATTTATTCTTTTTGACTCCTAAAATGGTGGTAGGTATTGAGTTCAATTTTATGAATCACTAAAGACCATGATTGTAGTAATATATTTTGGTTCAACAGTAGTATAGATCAACTTGACTGTGTGTATACAGTATATACACTTACCAGCCACATTATTAGATACACCTTACTAGTACCGGGTAAGACCCCTTTTGCTTTCAGAACTTAATTCTGCTTAATTCTTTGTGGCATAGATTTAATACTGGAAATATTCCTCAGAGACTTTGGTCCATATTGACATGATAGCATCACGCAGTTGCTGCAAATTTGTCAGCTGCACATCCATGATGCAAATCTCCCGTTCCACCACCAAGGTGCTCAAATGGATTGAGTTCTGGTGACTGAGGAGGCCATTTAAGTACAGTGAACTCATTGTCATGTTTAAGGAATCCTGCTGCAAGTAGCCATCAGATGATGGGTACACTGTGGTCATAAAAAGATGGAAATTGTGGAAACTCAGATCAAATGCGATCCATTGATTTTTCTCATGCTGGACGATTCATCACTCTCCTTATCCATCAACCAAAGAAAGATTCTGTCAGTTGTTCTGACTGCTGCAAAAAACAATCCTGAAACCATTACTTGTCCCATCTGCTCCAACTGATCTATCCTGGAGGCTCTATCTACAGGACATTATTAGTTTGGAATACACCACAGCCAAAATAAATGGTGCCAGTAAATAAACATTTTGGTTAAATATGAGAGAGACTGTATCATTTATGATTCAATACTGATTTTGTACTTATTATTACAACATTACTGTTTTTTATTTTGTTTGAAACTTTTTGTTAGGTGGATCTTGGGCTTTGTTCAAAATCAAAATGTTTAATAAAAAAGAATTAAAAAAAGATGGATATATTCAGCAACAAAACTCCGGTAAGCTTAGGCGTTGACACGATGCTCAATTGGTACTAATGGGCCAAAAGTGTGCTAAGAAAATATCCCCCACACCATTACACCACCACCAGCAGCCTGAACCATTGATGCAACGCAGGATGGACCCATGATTTCATGTTGTTGACGCCAAATTCTGACCCTACCGTTCGAATGTTGATGCAGAAATCAAGAGTCATCAGACAAGGCAACGTTTTTCCTGGTCTTCTATTGTCTTATTATGGTGACCCTGTGTGAATTGTAGCCTCAGTTTCCTGTTCTTAGCTGACAGGAGTGGCACCTGGTGTGGTCTCTGCCGCTGTAGCCCATCCGTCTCAAGGTTGGATGTGTTGTTCATTCAGAGATTCTCTTCTGAAGACCTTAGTTGTAACGAGTGATTATGTGAGTTACTGTTGCCTTTACATTAGCTGGAACCAGTCTGGCCATTCTCCTCTGACCTCTGGCATCAACAAGGCATTTGCACCCACAGAACTGCTGCTCAATGGATATTCTCTCTTTTTCAGAACATTCTCTGTAATCTCTTGAGATGGTTATGCATGAAAATCCCAATAGATCAGCGGTTTCTGAAATACTCAACCATTGCATGCCATGTCTACATGCCTAAATACAGTTGCTGCCATGTGATTGGCTAATCAGAAAATTGCGTTAACAAGCAGTTGGACAGGTGTACCTAATAAAGTGTGTATAGTTAAGTGTGTACCTAAGAGTGTATAGTTGAAGTTAAAATTATTCGCCCTCCTGTGAATTTGTTTTCTTCAAATATTTCCCAAATTTTGCTTGACAGTGCAAGGAATTTTTCACAGTATTTCCTGTAATATTTTTTTTTTCTGGAGAAAGTCTTATTTGTTTTATTTCAGCTAGAATAAAATGAGATTTTAATCCTTTAAAAAACACCTTAAGGTTAATATTATTTGTCCCTTTAAGCAATTTTTTTTCGATAGTCTACAGAACAAACCATCATTATAGAACCGCTTGCCTAATTACCCTAACCTGCCTAATTGACCTAATTAACCTAGTTAAGCCTTTAAATGTCATGTTAAGCTAAATATAAGCGCCTTGTAAAATATCTGGTAAGTCATAAAAGCGTATAGTTATGGCTAAGTTTTTATGTTTTAAACCATAAAGTATTAGTACATGGCTACCTTATAAGAAAATTACAAGAGTTCAAATAAAATGATCCAAAAGTCTAGTGGTACCTTAAATAAAAACTGGTCATCCTGTGCAACTATGCAAATTAGGGATGGGAAGATTAACCGATATGTATCGATACGTGGTCATGCGCGTGCACGATGCGAGTGCATCGGTTGAGCAGCAGAGGATGAATGAAATTTTGGAAGCAAATCGAGATGCATCGGTTTTTGCGAGATGCATCGATTTTTCCGAGATACAGCTTATATTTTTAATATAGAATGTATTTTTTATTTATTAACAAGTGTTGTCAACCTGTTTTTGGCGCATAATTTAATCGACCTACATAAAGTAAGCCTTAGCAACGGATTTGCGGATGTGCACACACTACAACTCAGTGTATCAGGTGTGCGGATGAAGCTAGTGGAGCGCCCTCAGAAAGCGCGAGAAGCAAAACACATTTTATTCCCCACTGAGTTTTAAATCTAAAGTATGGCAAGCAACATTATGGATTTAAGGATGGACGACATGACAGGACAGATGCAATTTGCAAAATGTGCCGCGCATCTGTAAAATACGCGGGCAGTACGACTAATCTGATATCTCACTTGAAGCGGCGCCACGGTGTTGTTGTGAAAGCATCTTCCAGTGTTTCTGCATCCCCGGCTTTCGCACTGCTTCAACCAGCTCCAAAAGTGGTGAGAAAAGCATTGAAAGTTTTTTTTCCCATGCGCAACAGTTCTGCTCGCTCTACGCCAATAACGAATGCTATTGCATTGTTTATCTGCAAAGATATTCAGCCTAGTGTCACGGAGAACGAAGGTTTTAAACACCTCCTCCTGTTAATTTTTATTTAATTATAATAATAATAATATTAATAATAATAATGATAAAAATAATGGGTGTCACGGTGGCACAGTGGGTATTTTGACCACCTCACAGCAAGAAGATTGCTGGTTTGTTATATTTTTATTAGCCTGTTGTTTACAGTGACAGTGATGTTTCAAAGCAGCATAACACTGCTAGTTCACCACCTTAAGTTTTGAATAATCAGTGGCAAAATATATCTTTGTAAAACTTGTTTTCATAGTTGAAAAGTTAAATCACAATTCTTGTTGTGCAATGCTAAATTTATTTATGTTGAAAGAGTGCAAATATATATATTTTTTAATATATATTGCACTTATACATTCTGTTTATCTTGAAAATACTTAAATAATATGTGCTATATGTTCTAAAATGGCCCTCTTTCACATCATCTCATAAACTTGATCTAATTAGTTAGTGCTGAAATATCGCATTGTATCGTGATATGGGTGTGAATCGTATCGTGTTGCATCGCAATATGTCACAAATGTATCGCTAATATATCGGATCGTATTCTTTGTATCGAGATGCGTATCGGATCGGCATTATAGCTTAGATGCCCAACCCTAATGCAAATAAATCCAGGAAGATGAAAATTAAGAACAAACATGAAATATTCAAGAACCTTCAACAGTGTATTCATACACTTTCTGCTGTCATAAACGATGCAGATTGATGCGAAGTGAGTATATGTACGTCACAGACAGTGAACACAGCAGACGTCATTCACAGGAACACGGCGCAAACGCAGGCAAATATGCATGAATCAGGGCGCCTGTGAGCTGTCGTCTGTCAGCTAACTGTGATTGTGTGGTGCCGCGCTCATCCTGGCCTCGGGTTAGAAGGGCCTGCGCTCTATGAGAGGCGGCTTTTTAATGCAGAAAGCTGGAGACCTGCCAACGATGCGAGCTCAAGCACACAGAGACAGCCAGACAGCTGAGCGCGTGTGATTTCAATACTCGTCTCTGTTTAACAGATTCAACCCTTTAGAAATGCGGTTCAACAAAACACTTCCATAGATTATCAGGGTAAATGTTAACTGATGTGATCAAAGTTTATTGCTTTACATAACAAACTGTACACTTGCTGTTCAGGAAAACAAGAGCAAATATTTAAGTCATTCACTCATTTTCGTTCCAGCTTAGTCCCTTTATTTATTAGGGGTCGGCACAGTGGTTATTCAATTTTATTAAAATTTTGATCATAGCTATAATGAAATTTCTTTATTCAGAGTTATTTATAGTGTTGGACTATCAGACAAATCAAAGATCCAAGTGCTAAAAAAAGGCCTCTTTGTCAAAAATCATTTAAATGTCATTACATTTTTTAAAGCATGGCTTTAGCTGACATCATTAAAGTCACACTCCACATCTTTTTGCGAGTAGACTCATTTTACAAGTCCCCTAGAGTTAAACTGTTGGGTTTTACTATTTTTCAAAATCCATTCAAACGATCTCCAGGTCAGAAATGAGCACTTTTAGCTTAGCTTAGCATAAATCATTGAATCGGATTAGACCATTAGTATCTCACTTAAAAATAAAAAATAAAAAGTTTTAATAATTTTCCTATTTAAAGCCTGACTCCTCTGTTATTAGATTGTGTACTAAGACCAATGAAAAAAGAAAAGTAATAGTAATAGTCCAGGAAATTTGCTGCTGTACCATGGCTGCAGCAGGGGCAATGGGGGCTATTTTCAGGTGCTGCATAATATTGTTGTGCCTTCTTTCGTTAGTTAGTCAACATTAATATAAGATTGGGCCAAATGAACACAATACCCCCTTTCTCGCTTTAAAGTCTGTCCACACCAAGGATGATAAATGTACGAATAAGAAAAATATAATTGTACATTTGTACATTTTTCGTAGAGTTTTTGGAAAGGTCTGTGTATGGAAGACATCTTTGTTAATTCCTGCTAGGGCTGGGCGATTAATCGAAATTGACATTCAAAACCTA